TATATAGCTGACCGAATTGCCAGACAGTTGTGACTAGTCATTTCCGTGACCTCATTGAGTTTTGCTTCGATAGTTTGACTGACTCACTGTCGGTCTATGGTCCATAAACTTTCTGATGAAATCAGAGACATCACATGTTAAAGTTTCGCGAAATCCGCCCGATTGATGGTTTTACGAGTAGCAGGTTTGTTTGACAGTGAAGTTGCCATGACAGCGATGCCGGGGCGTAATTTACTCGGTACTCTAGAGGGTTGTGTGCGCAGTGTTGGTGAATTTTACAGAAAAAAATATTACCGGCGAACTTGGGGTAATGGTACGTTTGTGAGAACGAGGTTTAGGAACAGATGAACAGCCTCCTAAGTGATCCTTCTTTTTGATGCCTAACTATATTGAATCGGCTGTTTCAACAAGCAACGTAGTTACACAAGGCTTTCATTGAGTAATAAATCGAGGACATCCAAAATTAATTAAGTGGAAGCCAGGGCGATGGTCCCCCAACCTCATTGCCAACAAAAATGCTGTAAATTTGACTCTCCGAGACTATGGTCTCAGTCGCACGCGCGCTTCAAGTATCATTTCTTGGTCGAAAGGACCGAGTGCTTGAGACTTTCATAAATAACTTTTTTTAGTCAACAGTAGGGAGGTCCTGTTCAAAGACCGATTAGTCTAAGCTGACCCTCACTACTTAGCTGTGTGATCACTCAGATACAAATGTCAGTCTAAACGATAAGTGGGAAGTTCAGATTTTCGGGTTCCTTTCATCCATATGAATATTATAGGGATATGACAAAGGCTTCGGGATGTCGATAAGTCGCTTTTATCTCTTAAGACGCAATAAAACGGTGAAATGTGACCCATGGCCAGCCAGATGCAAGGCAAACTGAAAGCGTGTGATCTCTCATTTGCAGTAGATGGGTCAACTGGGCAACATGACCCCACTGAAGCTGAAAGCCAGAGGTTTCGTGTTGACATCACGCAGTCAAATGCTGAAAAGCTGAATTGGGATGAACTATGTTTACATTGGATACAATGTTAGGCGATCGGTGAAACTGGTTTTGGAATCTCAGCTCGTAGGTCACCGGCCGATCGACTGTTCATCTGACTCAAATAACAAAAAAATTTCTGAAATGCTTTTGTAAGGTTTCACCGTAACTGCAAATGCATTGGTGCACAACGTGTAAGGCAGAGAGAATGACACACATTAGAGATTGAATCGTCTCCTGGATGAGTGAAGCAGTAGGTGAGCGGCTAGGAACTTACGACCTATTTCATTAAGTAATTTACACACCACCGTATGGTTGTGGTTAGTCATCTACCTTAAACTGCAGTCTGATAAAAATCACTTTCTTTTTTACTAAGTAGTTAGGCTTTCGCTTAGGCCGTGGCGTACTGTGGCCATTGGAAATCAGCTTGCCTTGGACTTTAAAGCCGGACCTGATTGGCCCATAGTAGGATTGGCCCCATTCCGCTGTTTTGCTGCTATTTATCCCTATTTATGATGTAGTATTGATGGTTTTTAGTATTGCGGTTGAAGAGATAAAAGGGGTCATCAAGATTCTGCAGCCCTTTTCTTCTCGCTGTATTATTTTGACTCAGCCTAACTAGTCACTGTTTTAGAGTAGACACGCATGAGAGAGCAAACAGGGATTTCTGGTGAATTATGGCTGAGTTATGATGGATTCATATGTCTACGCAGTGACTGGTCACAAAAATATTGACTTCTGAATTCAAAACCGGATGGGAATATCCTATCAAGTCCTTTTTCATCATACTGATCTTTGGAGGTAATACAGCATCTATAATACTGGGGAATTGATTCATCCACATACATTTTTATCCATTTAAATCCCAGTCAGTAATTTACTTATCAATTAATGAGTAATTCAGTGGAGATGTCACCCCTTATGTAAACCTAGGCTATGCCCAAAAGCCGAAGAGCACTGTACAGCTGATTCATCCTTACTGAGAATCGTCAGCAGTGAGCAGCCCTAGAAACTCAAAAAGTTCCGAACTCTCCACCTGCCGGTCAGTGGTTCAACACCTAACCGTTGGACAACGAGTGCCCGATCAGCAGTGTGATTACTTCTCATTCAGAGAGAACATTGAGTCACCGGTCGTTTAATACAACTGGAGCCACCTCACATGGTCACATACAGACCGCCATCTCGAGTGATGACTTATCAGAAGGAAGTTTCATACATTTAGTGAAATTATCCTTTATCTTAGCTGCACATTGGTTCGTTGTCAAGAAGCGCAGCTACTTCAGTATGCGCTCGGATGGAATAATGCTTCTCCAAAATTTACTCTATCAGAATTCGCATTCTACTTACATCTGCATTGGTCAGTTACACTCATGGTAAGAACGTTCTGGACACTGCCTCTCCCCGGCCTACTATGTTCGTCCTGTTAGTGGCGACATTCCTAATAAACACAAGACCATAGAAAAATGGTTCCATACTTACTTTCGATGAATAATTCCCTTGGATTTGATTGAGTAACAACTGTGGCGTCACGGGAGCTTCGTTTTGCTTTTGTCGTTCTAGCTTGAAATCCCTTTTGCTAATTTCTCGAGCGAGTGGCTTGCGATGTCTACGAACGAGTTCGCAGGCAGGATGGATGACCGCATCGGGGAGATATTTACCGCCTTGTCTGCCATAGGGAATGACAGATCTGGAAGGCCGATCAAAACGATTCATTTGGATGCCCAAACTGTTATGCAGGAGAAACGGTACGGATAACGGCACATGCTGTTCTTCACCTGGTGTCACTGGGTAGGACTCATGCATATGAAATACAGCCAATTCTAGGTCACCACAATATGGAGCCCAAGCCTTCGGCAATAAAACTGGCACCCGGTTCTGAAAAGATGGAAATGATTGTGTAAGAATAGGAAACGGATGAAGGACAATTCTAAGCCAGGCACTATAGAGGAAGTCGTATAACTAATGAATAACAGTTGAACAAACTGAGGAAGGAGCGATTTATGGAGCTGAATAAATACTAGAGCTTACAAATTAATCAAGGCGGACACATTGGTAGATACACAACGGATTAAAGCCTCATGACCAAAATAATATGTTTTCCATCCGATGAGTCACAAGATGGGCGAGACCGGTTGTGGGCTATCGAAGAATTTTCAGAAAATTTATGAGTAATATGCTACGTCCATACCGTCAATTTACTGCAGTACCAACCGAGAAATGAGGCGGTCTGGTGCAGCAAATTCTTTTGAACGCGAATACCATTGGGGAGATATTCAGCTGTCTCCCGCAGAAACCGAATAACAGCATTTTTCGGAGTTCATGCAGTTTTGGTTTAGGCGGAACATCAGGTTGACGGGGGCATGGGGAGTGAACCAACCTGAGGAGCCTGAAGGAGCAAACCAATCGTGGGTTGTCAAGGAGTTTTCAGCAACCTTGCGAGTAGTGTTCTACGTCTACAGTATGTTTCAATGTTACCTACATTAATCTTGTTACTCCACTGAACAAAATGTTGGTTATTTGGGGAAGGTTTTTGAACATTTCGATTGGAAGTGAAGCTAACATTGATTAGATTATTTTTGCCGTCCTATTTCGTCCATAGAACTCAGGCTGATTGATCCAATTGAGCGTAGCCTTAACATAGTAAGACGTTCAGACAAACGAAACTGATGAGTACAGAAGATTTGAATTCAGTCACCCAAAAACAAAATGAGGTGCTTCAAATATCTCAGTTGAAATACTTAGAGGTAGACATCAAGGCACATTAGTTAATAGCGGTATTATTTCTCTATATTTGCTATCAAAACACTTCAGCCGGTTCTCAAAAAGAAAACGGTTCAGGAATAAAAACATCCCTTGATCGATCATACCTTAAATGGAAACTCTGGCTTGATCAACAAAAGATGAACCAATGTGCTTAGTTCAGCGGAAAATGCCAAAATGGTTTTGAAGCATAGAAATCACACCAAACTGTTTCAGCAAAAGTGAGATACTGAACTATACGATGAATCTTACAGACAGCCCCCCCTAAAGCTGATAAAACTGGATCGCTGGTGGTTAGCTGTTGAATGGACTCTCTCAAAATCTTTCCTACAAAAGGTGATGTCTGACAAGAACGTCCACTTCCCGTTCTTATTCATCTTCGTCGTCGACGAAAATTGGCGAATTCTGAAAGGTCCCCAAAACCCTGGTGTTCAAATCGTTGATGGTGAGAACCTTGTTGATCTGGCGCTCGCAGACATTATTGTTTCCATTCTTCAAAACGAAGGTATAACACAAGTCCTAGTGAATAGACTGACCACCGTTGTACCACCTTTCTGCATGCGTCTTGCAGCTTCAAAGCACAAAGTCACGTTTTTGGCATCAAAACTACATATCACTTGGTCTTAAGGGTCACGTGTACTAAACTACAGAAATGACTGTGTTGTTTTATGGTTGCGGACATGGTCTCTGCAAACAGATGTCGTGAAGCGTCTTCAGGTGTCTAGCTGCCATATCATCCGAAGAAAGTATGAGAGCTGAGATAATGCCAGGTTGCCCAAGTCTGGACGACAGCAGTCGAGAGGCATTGGTTGATTTTGAAACACGGACCTTCTGGTTAGTAAATTCACGCTTTAACCACTGATCTATCTGAAGCTTATAGCAAGTTTCAAGTATCAAGTTTGTCAATTATTCCTGTAATTAGTGCAGTTGCTTGAATTGGTTTGGGATATTTTTGGTGCGATTTTTTTAGGATGATAGCACAAAATTTCATAACAAAAGCAAAAGCTTTGTAGGTGTCTAGCTTGAGGAACCATACTGCACTAGTTTTGTAAAGTCTTCTTGTACTCATTCTCAACACCCCATTTACGGGAAAACAAGTGTATCCCTCTCATTTTATCACGTTATTGTTAGTGTCTTTCTTCCTGGGGTGCCCTCAAACAAGACAACAAAACGGAAAACTTTGTATTCCTCTTAAGGGCTCCTGGCTACTGTGACCTAATCTGACGGATGAGTTCACCCAGTAGTAGTCTGCTCTAAGGCGGTCCACGGAAGTTGATAACAATTCATGCACCTCACCATAACCTGAGTGTCAGGTTCCCCAAATTCTCGCAAATCAAATAAAACAGAGAAGCTACCTGCTTAAAAATCATCACCGGCACATTTAATTTGGAATAAGGTGAATGTGATCGAGAACCTCAGAGAGCTACATAACACAGCACATAAATATGTCTGCATGCCGATGCATTTTCAAAACAACTGGTAGTTGTACAATAAATACCCTTAATTGAATGCTAACTTGGTTTTCATGGAAGGCTCACCTGAACCCCAACCGACTTTCTCGTTCATGATGCGTTTACCTGATGAGCGTCAAAACGGAAGAAACTGCTCGTGGGTTGTCGAAATGTTTTCATCAACCTTATGGGTAGTCCATTAGCCATCGTTGTAATTAATTTTCAGGCCCGGAAACAGAAAACATTTAGACCTCCATTGCTAAAGCTGGATGAAATATTGACTTTTAGGCTCACAAGTGAGGATGATTTCGGCGTCGGTAGTTAATAGAATAGCCGGCACTAGTCACGTGATTGCATTTGACTGGTGCACACTCACCTGAAACAAAGTACTCTTTTGCGTTCTGTATTGACTACATTTACCATTGGGAGTACGTTGTACTGATTAACGGCATAGGTAGTCCAGCGCAGTAACGTGACGTTTGCTCCCGCTGTGTTGGCAAACTAATAGGCGGCGAAGTGAAGTACAGTTCCGGATGGTTGGGAACGTGGTTAGTTGTCAAACTAGAAGCGCAGTGCTCAAAACTGTTTACCGACTTTGGAAGACGCGTGTAACATACCTCGATGCGATAGGAAAATACTGACGGATGGGCCAACACTGGATGAGATCTTTCTTTGCATAAAATATTTAGGTGTGTGGCTTCCCACTGAAATAACTTTTCACAGCACTGGTTGTATATATTTGGCTGGGTAATTTAGTTACGGAACTTTTCATCGGTGTGTATTAAATTAGGTTTGCGTGCAATCACGGTGCAACCCCGTTGCCAAGTTTGTCATTTTACGGCTTTTCTTCATATTTTGTGGAAATAGTCTGTGGAACATGATAACTGCTGATTAGACTCTTGCCACTAAAATTGCTTACAAGTGACTTTCTGCAACAAGCTCAACCTGTCAAAGTGGAAACTGAGGTACGTGCTAGATGGTAGGAAACTGCTAAGAGATTACTCATAAGGTTCCTGAAAATTCTCCGGTTTCAACTTTTTTTTTGGGTTGGTGAACAAGGTGTTGCTCTCGAGTTGGCGCCAACTTTGTGTTTTGCTTGAAGCAGAATTGCATGAAATTCGCTAAATAAACTGGTCCGCATAAACATCTATACTGGATTAACAGGTTTTACTACAGACGTAACAACTCGCTCAGTTTCACAGCTGGCCGACTTTTTACGTTATCATGGTCACCTCAAATGTGTACCGTTTTTATTCAGCAAATGAGCAAAAAACCCAAGCGCTAGTGTGAATTAGAACTTAATTCATTCTATTTTGCATACTGGAGGGAAATATTGCCCAGTTTAACTCTGGTCTCAGGAATCATAACTAGTTAGCTCACAGTGGGTTCTCTTCATTTTGCTTTTCAGCATGTTGTGCGAAATAAACGGTAGGCTGTTTGGTTCGGGAGGAACACCCTAAAGCATTTTCTAAAGCGCTAAGCAAGGATTTGGATGAAATAATACAGACGGAACGATGGAAAGTATGGATTGATTAAGTTAACTCTCAAAATATATTGCACTAGCCATTGCGAGCCAGTTACATTTGGGAGAGATCTCTTTGAATAAATTGTTGAATTTCATTAGTTATACCAGAAGTGTCCAGAATATCCGCTATACAATATTGCCCAACTCTGGTCTCAGGAATTATAACTAGTTAGCTCACAGTGGGTTCTCTTCATTTTGCTTTTCAGCATGTTGTGCGAAATAAACGGTAGGCTGTTTGGTTCGGGAGGAACACCCTAAAGCATTTTCTAAAGCGCTAAGCAAGGATTTGGATGAAATAATACAGACGGAACGATGGAAAGTATGGATTGATTAAGTTAACTCTCAAAATATATTGCACTAGCCATTGCGAGCCAGTTACATTTGGGAGAGATCTCTTTGAATAAATTGTTGAATTTCATTAGTTATACCAGAAGTGTCCAGAATATCCGCTATACATATTGCGAGATCTTTATGGATATCGGGCAATGAATCAAGCCACATAATCTTCACTTAGAAAATAAACTGTCTTCAACCAATGAAATCTACGACAACTTAGTGTCAACGTATAACAACGTGGCAACTACGCGGTAAACCATGGCATTAAGTATTCCTCGTCATGCGGTAGCTCAAAGAGCTTTTAGTCCTCGAACTTGTGGCTACATGTGGCTAGACAGTCGTAGGATTAGCCCTTATTAGGCTGCAAATCACCAATACAAACTCTGAAATCAACGTAGAGACCTGTGATGGAGCGAGGCGTTTATTAGCCTGAGTGGACCAGGAGAAGAGAGAGGCAGAAACCGACCACAACCAACACGGTGGAACTCGAGATTTTTTTTATCCAGACTGGGTTTGTGGTATGTCTTCCCATGCTTCTGTCTGTGCGTGCATTTATTTACTGAAGATGGCGTGATTAAACTACAAACTTCCTTCTCCCTAAAAAACCATGACAGCTGTACCCCGAGCAAAGGATCTAATCGTGAGTTCATTTCAGGTAACACCATCCAAGTTTCAGACAGGTTCGAACCGAATCTTTGGCAGTTTAGACGTTAAATATCCACCTGTGCATCTAACCATTAGTAGCTCAGGGAGAGACTAAGTCGAACGACAAGAAAAATTCCATCTGAAGAGCCCTCACTGGAGCAGCTAGTCAATGCATGATCACGTCGCGTGACTTCTGTGATTAATGGATGGTCAGCGCTATATCCTGTTTTAATGAGAACTAATTACACTGCTGTCAGACGCTCTTGGCAAAACGATTAAGTGTTCATCCACTGAGTGGAAGTTCGAGGGTTCGAAAATCCCTGCTGGGGTTTCATGAGACGCTCAGCGCTGATTATTTCCAATAAGGATGAAACAGCTGAACAGTGGTTCTCGGCTTTTCAGCATAGACTGGCTTCAGGTAAGGAAGAAAAGTTCACTTGAAAATTACCACATCTCCATACGCAACCATCAGACTAAATCAGATGGAATTTCCCCAGTTTATTGTCGGCTGACATTCGCGGGATTAGCACAAGCTGCGTGCGTCTCACTTTGGTTTTCAAACTTCCGGTACCGTTACTTGGATTAGTTCACATCAAGCTGTGAATTCGAAATTGACCCGTATAACTCATCAGCAATGTAGCACGAGTGTCAGAGTTGCAATCTTGACGTTTGCTGAAAATCCAGAAATAATACCACTGCCCTTCGGAAAGTAAGAGAATTAGCCAATCCAGTATCGAGAATAAAAGGCACTAGGTGACCTCAATAGGCTTGGCTGAGGCAGGCCTAGAACGCAATTTCATACACAACTCTACAAGTGTCGCATTTCCCTGATATATTTCGATTTGTAGTGATTGCCAACACGTTTGGTTTTACACTCTACATCCTGCAAAACCATGGAAAAAACTCACAAAACACATTTGCAAAAGAACAATAATTGTTTACCGGCTTTTGCATTGACATCAGATACGCGGGACTGGGCGATACAGGTGGTGGTTTGATGTTCGTCTTCGATGAGCCATCCGTAGTGGTTGCGTTACTCATGAATGTAGTTCCAGTAAACACGCGATCGCTGGAAGTAGTTAACCGTTCTGCAGCGTCAGTACTACCCGGCAGTTCTTGGCTCATGATATCCACTTGATTTCAAAGCCTTATGAAGTTATTTTTTTTTTCAAAATATTGTTTGTGTATGTCACGAATATATCCCGATCGCCAGAGATTTCATTGTGTAAAATCACCGATCTGACAAGCGGTAGTGAGTTTGGAGTCAGATTTAATCGAAAAATAGAGTGCATTAAGTTGATGTGTCCGCATAGTTGTTCTGGATGCGCAATTGACTAACTAGCCAATCAGCTATGAACATTTGGTCACGCTGTGTTTTTGTACTATTAACACACCAGTGAGGCTATCGATGTTGTAGAAAAGTAAGATCCGATGTTTGTGTGTTGATCGGACTTATTGAACCCGGAGAAAACTTGTCCCTGGCGAGTAATTTCGAGGTTTTAGGGATAGTCTCGATTGAATAGAGATGTCGTAGATAGCTTTGATATGCACAGGAGTTCATGCAGAGTATTTTAGGAGTAACGTCTTTTTCAAATCCATTCAATGTTGGGGATAATTTAAGGAAATAAAAACAAAATCATCAAAATTCGTTAATTTTATAACGACATTTAAGGTAGTCTACGAAGATTCCGGGCAATTTTTCAAAACTTCAAGCAGTTTCACAAACTGGGCCACAGATGAGAGATAATGAAAATTCGACAAATCGAGATACATAACTAAGTTTTATTGCTCCGTGCCTTAGATTGTGACCGTGAATCCACGATGGCACTGTCTATTCATCTGACGTTTCTGGACAGGGTACCAACCAACTTGCGAAATTCGTGTACACGATTTGGAGATGAAACAGATAACAAATTAGATAAGAAAATATGTCTGTAATATCCTGTATTAGAAGTGTTTTGGGCTCTGGTTCACTTTGGGCTACTTAATCAGTTCCATTTCTTGGAGTTGAACAATACAAACTTAAAGTGGTCATAACGATTTCTCAGTCACCCGGAAATGTCAAACGCTAGTGTGGTTAAGTGAGCGTGCAGTTGTTAAAAAGTTACCCAAAAACAAGTCTGATTCCGGTATACGGTATGTTCAAATTGAAGTAATGTAACAAATTTCATTCGCCAATTGTGGACCAGTTGTGGAAGGACTTGAAACGCTAGACGACAAATGTTTTGCTTGTTCCTTGGACGACGTCGAATTATGCGACTCATGCTGTGAATTTTTAGCGAAAAAATGATCATGGAAGTGGAAAAGTTCGACTCGTTTTCGCCATGGATGTAAAAGGGTAGGTAGATGAGATTCAGGGTATAATGGAAACGGGTTAGAGTGGGAACAGGAGGTAGTTTTCATCCAGCGCTACGCGAAAATAAATAGGTTTCCGTTTATTAACTGTTGAACCATTTGAACGAAAGACCATTGGAATCGAGTTCGTTCTGTTCCACAAGTGAGGTTTCGGAGTTTGTTCTTACGCCAGAACTTGTCACAGAATAAGACTTATTTCGGGGTTGGAAATTGGGTAAAAAAAATGCACTACTTTCCAAGTAACAGTGCAATGTAAAACGAGATTACTCTTAATTAAGCGTCGGTCGGATGGATGCGAATAGAAGCACGGTTTTTGAGCTCACCATCGGTTTCTGAGTCATCTCCATCTGTAGGTTATCGATTAGCTTCAAGGTTTTACGTGAACTATGAGCGATCATCTCCCGGATCTTGCCTTGAAAGTTCATTAAAAAAAGCTTTGCGGATCAACTCATCTCATTTATGACAAAGGCGAATGCAGACCAATGGAGGTTCAAGACTGCGGCTTGTTCCTGACAAGACGCAAAGAGACCTCTGCGCGCTGCCCAAACTCAACACGGAATGAAATGATGTAGCCTTTGTCGAGGACATCAGCGTAAGTCGGTTTAATTCGGTGGACCAATGTAGTGCCAACATAACATTTGTTCAAAATGACGCCAGAAGAACGTTTAATCGTATAGGTTTTCTTTACTATTCTTAGTATCGTCTCTAACACTGCATTCACACCATTTCCAGTAATTGCTGTAACTATATTGAATTCCAGACGCTCGCGTCTTACAAGTTAAGTATACAACCACTGACTGTAGGTTCGTAGGTTCGAAAGTCCGAGTTTTGTTAGGCGCACACAATTGATGATTCCCAATAAGGATAAAATATTGACCAATGCCTCCTGGTTCTTCGTCATCGATTAGCTTCACTTGCAGTAAAATATTCTCAAATCGTCCCATACTAACATCAATTTCAAAGGTTGGTTACATAAATTAAGAGGGTTCCGAAGCCAGCAGTACGGCACTCTATGTTTCACCCTAACCATTTTGTTGGATAGTCGTCGTTGGCTAATGCATTAAAAATGGCTTTGCAGTTTAATTATTCCAGTGGGTGTAGTTTAAATGAAAGATATCGCAGTATGGTCTAATTCCTCTTTCGTTTCCGTACAATCTTACCTTTCGTTGAGCCCATGGGTCTGTCCTAAACTCACAAAAACATATGGAGGTTTTAAAAGGTCATGACTCCTATAGCGAGATTCACATTCCTCTGGAAAGTCTACATTCAGAGTGTGTCATCAGCTTGGTTTAGGCACATTCTCCGCCTAGGACAGCATCTGAGTTTGCATTCATCGGTGAAACATCTGTCACGATTTAATTTGTGTTTCAAGCCCTGTAGCTTGAAGGTGAATCCCAGATTCACAGCTCCACAATGTTTCACACGGAGCCACCAGGCCGTTAGGTTGGCCATCACGCCACAGAGTATAAAATACATGCAAAAGTTTGTTTACACCCACCTGCAGTCGTATTCAGAAATTCACCTGATGCATATCCAGGATGTTTTAAGTGAATAGATATCAACTACCGCTCTACCTTGCAGAATTTTCAAAGATGCACACAACTCTGCAGTTTTCCGATAAAAATACAAGAGTTGCAACTTATCAGTTGATCTGTGAGGAATGGAGATTCTGGTAAAAAAATTTTGGTTATTTACTGGTATCCTAGAATATTTGCTGCGCAAAGCACGCCACAACAGAAATCAAGATGACTCAGTGCTTAAGGTACAATTTTACTGACCGGAGGGTCTGTGGTTCAAACCCAATCTCAACATCTCGATCGCTTCTGTGTAGGCTTTGGTAATCTAGAAATGGAGGCCCAAATTGTTCCTGACAAGACGCAAAAAAACTTCTACGCGCTGCATCAACTCAACACTGAATGGAATGAGGAAGCCTCTGTCAAGGACATCAGTCTTCGCGCTTACCTCGTGCAACAGCTAGTCTCAGAAGGGTTAAACAGCTGGATGAGTATCAAATGTATTCACTAATATCTGTCATGCCGGACTTAAACAGGTCATGAAATCTCGTTTACTGACTACCGTTTAACTTAACTACTTACACGAGGAACAATCCAGCTTTATTCAAATGTTTCCGAAACACCAAATGCACGTACCTTACCCTGGAAACTAGGCGAATTCAATTATGAGCATTAGAGCCAGCAGGTTGACAAAGATGTTCATCAGTGTGCGGTTGCATTTGCTGGTGCAGTACCGTCTCGTAGGTTGACTAGGTGCCACCCAGTGCCAACCTGCCCACGCTGTTTCACACGGCGTTTGACTGGGATGGTTCAGTTTAGCACGTACTGAAAAACCGAATACACTCATTATGCCCCCACTCATAGATACGGGTCAGTGCCAGGATTACATCACCTGGAAGGCGTTATCAGACCTGATATTGTATGGCCTACACTTCCAGCTAAAGTAGGTTTCTTTCTCTTGAAATGAACTATCACATTCACCTCAAATACGCGCATTGAATGCTCTCGACCTATTCTGTTGAAAGAGTACGAGACAAACCTGCAGTCAAGGAGCTAACTTACTGACTGAATGAACCGTGATTCGAACCAAACACACGGCTTCTCGACTACTTATGTCCACGCTTGGGCAACGTAACAGTATCTCAGCCCCCGCGCTTTCCTTGGGTCGCATGGCAAATAAGTATTGACAAGGTGAGGTATCTTAGTCGTTACATGAGAGGAACGCAAATGTCTTTTTTACCCGAATATTTTGTTATGACTATATCACGCTTGCGCAGTTCTTGAAGAAAACACCGTAGGTGAATTCCATCGATATATTGAAAAATCTATTGGAAGTTCATCAATGTGGAACATTCACAGTCAGAAACAGTGAGTTCCGAGCCAGGTTGGGTGAAATGGCGCGAAGCAGGGAGGAACAAGAAGGGCTTTATATCAGCGCTAGTCAAAACTGATTAATCTGGAAGATTTCCAGTTTTACCTAGAAAATCACTCTTCATGAGGAGTCGGTGATATTTTGTAATCCATAGTCAATACACGAATTTTAAAGTGGGAAAACTTTAAGAGAATGAACAATTTTCATTTCACTTCTGGAGCTACCCAAAGCACTCACCATGAGGAGTCCTTAAAGGGTCCTTTAAATTATTCTTAGTCAAAGAAATAATTTTCATTAATAAAGCTTCTAGCATATTCTTCAGGATTTCCTTGATTCAAACGACTGTGAACGCAGATACACTCATCTAATCATCAATCTGGTTTCTATGGGAGATTCGCTTGAAACCCTCCTGAATCTCTCACTTATGGCGTTTTTTTCGATCATAAGGTTGACGGAAACCTCGAGAGTGCATCTACCTGATAAACCGTGAGAAGGGCAAAACGGATCTTCGTCTGCCGAAAAGTTTCCAGTAGACTTGTTAGTATGTTACGTCTACACCTTGAGCACAATTTTGGCAGGTTTCTGGTCAAATTGCCAGCTGAATCGAAGGCATCGTAGGAACGGAACTGGTCGTAATCAGGCACTGTCTATTAAGTTTCGATGATTCGTGAGACTACTTAGTATCTCGTTGTGGTGAAATATCTCGTCACAAATTGCCTTGAGTAATTCCTGTTAGCTCATCAGGTGTGAAAAAACCACACCGTTAGCTCGGTACCAAAAACTGATCACCTGACATCAGTTGTTTGGTTTGGTAGAATCACAAAATATGCATGACTCAACGAAATCACGAGAATGTTCAGCAAAGTACATTTTGGTTGAATATG